TTAGTCTGTATTGTTTTAGAAAAACTGTCACATGACAATAAACAAAAATGTATCAGTACTCGTACTTGTAAGTACTTGGCAAGTACCAGTACTCGTACTCGCAAAACTGGTATCTGTGCATCCCTTTATTTATATTTATAAAAACAAAATCATACATTAAAACAAAGATGCACAAATCCCAGGAGCTCCGTGTGATCCTTACAAATGACAGCTGACTCCTAACTTCTGAATTTTTATCTAGTCTAGTCTTGGAGCTCGAAAGTATCGGTACATGTACTCATACTTGTACCGAGTACTGTACTTGGTATCTGTGCAACCCTAAATAGAATAGATGTTTGTCAATCCCTTTGATAACAAAGGTTATATAACAGGCAAGGCATTTAACATTGACTGTTAATGCATTTTAGAGAAACCTACAAATGTGGTTCTTCCATAAAGCAAATTTTTTTCAGGCCATTATACATTTCCTATTGACACCCCTTCAAGTGTAAGGGATTTTTTTCCCCATTTTCTAAGAAAGCTAAAGTGTAGAAGGGTGACTCCTTCCTATCTTTGTAGTAAGAGGATGAGGTAGTTCCTTCACTCATACCTGTTTTCTCCTCATTGGGAGATGTAGATTTCACTTGCAGTGCCACAAGTTGGTGAACCCGATATCATGGCGATCATTATGTTTAAAGGGATAAATCTTAGGTCTCCCATAGACAGGGCCGAATTTCCCACAAGGTCAACCAAGGCTCAACCTTGGTGCAGTAGGGAGTAGAGGGGCAGCAGGGGTGTGGAATTCCTATCTCCTGCTGCTCAGGACATGCAGTTCCAGGCGGGTAGTTGTTTTCTACATTTAGCCCTGGTTTGGGCAAGCAGAGCTAAATGTACAGCGGGGAAGCTGCTTGTTTTGTACAAGTGATCCCGGCGATGTCGCCGAGATCACTTGTATGGAGCCTGAAGGTAGGCCATTCTCCATGGGGGAGGGGAGGTTGGCGGCTAGGGGGCGCATTGAAGAACCTGGCCTTGGGGCAGCAGAGAGCAGGGCCGGCCTTAGGGGTGTGCGAGCAGTGCGGCCGCACAGGGCGCCATGGCAACAAGGGCGCCGTGCGGCCGACACAGCTCGTCCTGGGGGCGGCTTCTCTCCCCCTCACCGCTGGGCACCGGCCCTGGCAGAGAGAATAAATCCGGCCCTGCCCATAGACATGAGATTGGAGCTGGATGATCCAGTAGCAATAGTCATTATGTACAATAACTGTGGAGTAAACCTGCGTAATGGTTTTGGTGCCAGTATTATCTCAGGGTAGATACACAAATAGAAAAATCTGTCTGAGACAATAAACCTTATGCCATGATTGGGCCAAGGGGTGGCTACAGAGTACACATTGTTTGAACCCTCATTGCCTGCATCAGATAATGATCATCTATGACTATGGATAGGTTATTTCTGATGAGCAACATAAGCAACACCTATGAGTGCAGCTGGGGCTTACAAGAGGGTTCCTAGAGGGGGATACATTTCACACATATTTTGTTTATCTTCAAATTAGCCCTTTAAAACTATCTGATCTTAAAAGTTTGCTGAATTTGAGATGACTATGACTTTTGTAAATTAACTTCTTATCATCAGGAAAATGTGTATAACAGAAATGGCATGCAGTTTGTTATGTTACCAGCCAAATGGCCATGCACTGGGATTGGTTACTAACTGATCCAGTATAAAGTTATGTCTTCTCCCTATGCTCACAAGTCATAGAAAGCAGCATGTTAACTTTTTCTAACTTGTACATTTACAATTATTTCTCACAAGTGATGCTAATATAGCTGAGTCTTAAAGGAGAACTATGAGATGAGTGATTTCCACTCACCTCATAGTTCTAGCTGACCTGTGACAATGAGACTGTCACAGGTTGGCTCAGTAGATCGGGAGGTTAGCGAACAACATACCGGGTTCGCTCACCTCTCGATCCTGTCACGGCTCCCTGCCGTGACAGGGGGAGGGGCTGGATTCCCCTCTCCCCGCTCCGATCTGCCAGCACTGACTGGCGGAACGGACAGGGGAGGGGGCGGGTACAGCTGGCTCTGCCTCTAGATAGGCAGAGCCAGCTGTCACTCACGCAGCTGGGCGGATCCCGTCGTCTAAGTCGGGATCCGCTCCGGCGTCTCAGTATACCGCGAGCTGTAGCTCGCGGTATACTGAGCTTAGGGTAACGGGAGGACCCTAGTTTGTGTCCTCCCGTTACCCTAAGGAGAACTATGGGGAAAACACTGACCCCATAGTTCTCCTTTAATCACAATAGGTTTACCATAGTGCTGTACTACACCAATAAACATGGAGCATGCCAAAATAAATCTCAGCAATTACATTACAGTTACAGTGATTACAGGGGCCGGGTTGTTGGGGTACATCTTAAGTTTATTCTTGGTAAAGTATTGGGGCTGTCATTGCTGATCTACTTCTGAAAACACTAATCACCCAGCTGTGTCTGGCTTCTATAATCATTGTCATTGACCCTGACAAAGAAAAGTCAGGGAAAAGTCAGAATCGCTCTACATGTTCTGGGTGACTGAATGAAAAAGTAGTAAAAAGCCATTGCAGCAGCATGACAACCAGAAAGCTTACCTATTTATAAGGAGGGGTCAGCATTGGCAGTCTACATATTTCTCCCATGACAGGTTTCCTATAAATGGTATATACACACGGACTAGGATTGTTGTTGTAAATGACAACATTTCCTCTTTCATGTTACATTGGCACAAGCTAAACATTATACTTTATAGGCTCTGTTCACTATATTTATGTGTTTTTTGCTATAGCGGCATTGTTTTAAGCTACATGTTTTCAACTTTCATTGCTGAAAATAGTGGCTATGATGGCAATCAGCAATTTTTATAGCTTAGCTAGTTGAGCCTGCGCTGGAACACCACTTATTTGCTTGCTAGTTCATGTCTAGAAAGAAGACACATTTTGGCCCTCAAGCCAAAACCTTTTTTTTATAGTTCTGGATGGAGTGTGGAAAGGTTTAAACCTCTGTCAGATTTTATTTCTGCATGTGTCCTCACTAGGGAAATGTACCCTTACTATTTCTCCTGGTGACCAATAAAACCAGGACAGAAGGTCCCGGTGGTAATGGTCCCCATGGTCACCCCTGTCTGATTTGTATTTCCTCACTAGGCCATTATCACCAGGATAGAAAGTGATGGGAAATCACTTTTCCACATTTTACAGTTGTCACTGTAACAAGAGGGGAGGTAAAATCTTCTAATAGGGACACTTGTTCTAGTGACAGCTGTCTAAAGGGCCAAATCACACTTTTGTGTCATTGCGCATTACTTTAATGCTTATACTAAGATGTGCATTACTGCAACGCACATTAACACACATCAAATGCATTAGCAAATTGAATGCCGTTGATCCTGAATGGCACCCTAGTGCATAGCTCACACATGCATCCTAAGACACTATTGTGTGTTCTGTGTTGCATCAGAAAAAAATACTGCATGCACTTTTTTGTCTGTCCCGGTGTGTTGGCAGCCCACTCACAATCAATGGGCTCCCTCAACATAATGACAGAACAAACATGAACACAACACATAAGAACGGCAAAGTGTGAATGAGCCCTGAGAAGGGATTTGCCCTCACTTCCTTGTGCCTCTCCTCAACAGGACACAGCTAGCAAAAGAAAAAAATTAACCTTTCCATGTTCATCCATATTTAACTCTCATCAATTCTATGGGCCAGCTATCTAGGCACCATATCTGAAATGCTTGAGAGCCTTTTCCATAGAATTGTCTTGGTGAGTCTTGTATGAGGTCATGGTCAGATGGTCTTTCCTCAAACCTTCCCCATTTGCATGGGCTTAGGACTGGAACGCAGAATGTGATAACACATGTGCATAGCCAATTTGTACACACATACTAGGCCATGAACCAGTTAATCTGACAGCATGTGTTTGGAGTGTGGGAGGAAACCGAAGCACCCTCGATAGCCAGTCAAGCACTGAGAGAACATGCAAACTCCACGCAGATAATGTACTGGTATGGGTATATAAAACAGCTTTTTCCTGTCCCCTAGGCGCAGCAGTTAACCCTTGCAGTGGTTGGGGGACTGTCCTAGTTAACTCTTGCAGATAATCCTTGCAGTGGCTGGGGGACAGTCCTAGTTAACTCTTGCAGATAACCCTTGCAGTGGCTGGGGGACAGTCCTAGGTAACCCTTGCAGATAACCCTTGCAGTGGTTGGGGGACAGTCCTAGGTAACCTTGACAGTTAACCCTTGCAGTGGTTGGGGGACAGTCCTAGGTAACCCTTGAGTTAACCCTTGCAGTGGTTGGGAGACAGTCCTAGGTTACCCTTGTAGATAACACTTGCAGTGGTTGGGGGACAGTCCTAGGTAACCCCTGAGTTAACCCTTGCAGTGGTTGGGAGACTGTCCTAGCTTACCCTTGCAGATAAGCCTTGCAGTGGTTGGGGGACAGTCCTAGGTAACCCTTGCAGTGGTTAGGGGACAGCCTGGGTATGCCTTGCAGCTAACCCTTGCAGTGGTTGAGGTACAGTCCTAGGTAACCCTTGCAGTGGTTGGGGGACAGTCCTAGGTATGCCTTGCAGTGGTTGGGGGACAGTCTAGGTATGCCTTGCAGTTAACCCTTGCAGTGGTAGAGGTACAGACCCACTGCAAGGGAGAACTTTTCCTTTCGCTGGAGTTGGGCTTCGATTCCTCATAGCAGTGAGGGAATGTAATAGATGTCTGCGTCCAGCAGGTGGCGCCAGCCTCATATTCAGGGGGATATTAGCAGGCAGGCACAGATAGCATTGAGTCCAAGCAGATTGCAGCTGCTGTCTGATGCCGTCACACTGAGCCCACTGAATATTCGCACAGCCTGGCGGGCATTGCCACTGCCTCACTGTTAATGATTCCCTTCCAGGTCCTCGTCACACATTGGATCTCCGTGCTCAAGTCGTCCCATAGCTCGCTAGGCACAGCGGCTTGTCATCGGTCGCCTTTGGCTCCCTCGGTGAGGAGGATGTTGGAAAACAGCTGCAAGGTGGTGAAAGAAGGACTTCTGGAGAAGAGGAGCGATGGCTTGCTGCAGCTGTGGAAGAAGAAGAGGTGTCTGCTGACCGAGGAAGGTCTTCTCCTCATCCCACCCAAGCAGCTGGAACAGCAGCCCCAGAGCTCTCCTCCGGAGCCGGCCAGGATCAAGGAGCTGCACTTCTCCAACATGAAGACGGTGGATTGTGTGGAGAGGAAAGGCAAATATGTCTATTTCACCGTGGTTATGGCAGAGGGCAGGGAGATTGATTTTCGGTGCCCGCAGGACGAGGGCTGGAATGCCGAGATCACCTTGCAGATGGTGCAATATAAAAACAGACAAGCCATCCTAGCTGTCAAATCTACCAGACAGAAACAGCAACACCTTGTCCAACAGCATGGCCATCGGATCAGGAGCACCTCCAACTCAGCGTAGTCCCAGCATCAGCACCATCCATCCATCCCATCCCAGGTACCAGGGTATAGGGGGGCACACTGACATGTCTAAAGTTGTAAAGTTTCTGCTTATCAATTTCATACCACAGTAAAGAAGGTGTTCACCCCTCTCATTCCATATGCCAAAAATAAGAGGATCATTCCTCATATCAGGACAGTGGGTGATACTACAGAAATCATTGCTTTACACCCCATCAGCCTGATGAAAACCCAGAACCCCTGCTGTATAGTGCCTAATATTATAAAACCATTTCTTCTAAACCATAAACAGCTGTTCCAGGCTTTATTACCATCATCAGTGCTGTTTATGGCAATCATGACTTGTATTGAGTAGGGCTTGGGACCCAGCATGACAGTATAATACAGGTTATGGTGACAAGGGACTAAAGCAATGTAAAAGCTCCTCCAAGTGAATGTGTGCTTAGTACAGTAACTCTTTCTTAAAATGGAAGGTATTGGCACATCTCATTCCATATCCTGAAATTAAAAGGATTATTCCTCATTTCAGGACAGTGGGCGAAATCAGGCAAATCATTGCCCTACACCCCATCAGCATGATGCACACCCAGAACCCCTGCTATATAGTGCAAATGTACCCTGATATTATAAAGCCATTTCTTCTAAACCGTATACAGTTGTTTCAGGCTTTTTGACCATCATCCATGGAGTTTATGGGAACCACGGCTTCCATGGAGTATGGTTTGGGACCCAACGAGATAGTATAATCATACAGGTTATGGTGAGCAGGGATTAAAACAATCAAAAGCTCTCTGAATGAGTGCATAGTATAGTAAAGCATTCTAAGGGCTTATTCACACCATGTTCAGACCAGATCTGGTCTGGTATATAGTGCAAATATAGCCTAATATTGTACAGCCATTTATTCCAAACCGCATGCAGCTGTTTCAGGTTATTTGGCCATCAGGTTATCAGGTCATCAGTGCTATGTATGGAAACCAAAGCTTTTATAGAGTAGGGCTTGGGACCCAACAAGACAGTATAATCATAATTATAGGAGACTAATGGAATCTAAAAGTCCTCCAATGGAATCAGTACATAGCAGAGCAAAACCTTCTTAGAACAAAAGGTGTTCACATGTCTCATTCCATCACATATCCCAAAAAGTCTCAGTCCTGTATTGAGGAATAGTACTCTTATTTTTGGATATGTGATGGGATGAGACATGTGAATACTTCTTATTCTAAGAAAGCTTTACTCTGCATTGATTCAGTTGGTGGGCTTTTTGGTATCTTTAGTCCATTGTCACTATACCCTGTATGGTTATTCTTTCCCATCAGTTTCATATGAAAGTCCTATTCTAGTCATAGGACGGAAATACCATGCTGGGATTGTTGATTAATGGTCACATATTTATAAATAAACGTATAAATAAATCTTGTAAACAAAGTCATTACACTGTTATGAGAAACTGCAGACAATTCAGTATACACATAAAGCCAGATCTTGTATATGTTTATAGTTCCTTTACTAACATAATAAAACTTCGGTTAAGCAGTTCAATGACACCCAGGGCAGTCAGAAGGCTTATGCTTAGGTTGACCATACACTGTATGAATTTGACCAAATCAAATTAGTCAGGGAAAAATCTAAAAGTAAGAGGGTTATTCACAAAAGGGTGAAGAGTTTGGAGAAGGCAGGAGAAGTGAACAATCTAGGACAGGTGTGCCCATTAGGTAGATCGCGATCTACCAGTAGATCACAAAGCGAACACTGGTAGATCGCGATAGGCTCACTGACCTGTGTCCTGTCCTCCCGCAGTGCTAGTGCGGCTGAATGTGTCAGATGCCGCAGACAGGAAGGAGAGAGGAGACTTGGGAAGCTGCTGCAAGACAGGAGAGAGCAGAGAAAGTGAGAGAAGAGACAGCAGATAGAAACAGGGGAGAGAGAGAGGACAGAGCACGAGGAGAGAGAGAAGGGAGGGCCGGTTCACACCACAAAGTCTGCGTTCCAGAGTGTTTGGCCTCTAGAACGCATTGGAACGCAAGCCGAATATCTCCCTGCGTTCAAGGGCGGGAGGGGGCTTGACGGTGCATTTAATTCAATTGCACCACAGCCACGCCCCCCACCCTCAGTCTGATTGCTCGCACCTGGAACGCAGGCACATTAATGCCTGCGTTCCGGTCCAGCGGGATATGCAAAAATGCAGCATTTTTGCAGATCTCACTGGACCGTAACGCGCGGCACTAATGTGCCTGCATTCCTGGTGTGGCGATTGCACTGGGGGTGTGGCTGCGGTGCCATTGACTTCAATGCACTGCCACGCCCCCTCCCGCCCCTGAATGCAGTTGTTTTTTCGTTGGTAGATCTCATTGAGCTCGTCATTTGAAAAGTAGATATCCAGATGAAAAACTGTGGGCGCCACTGATCTTGGACAACATAGCTGAACTGGAAAGTGAGCTGAATTGGAGAATTTTTCCAAATCAGCTATTTTGACCTCGATTGTTCACTTCTGTGGCCTGGCTGGCTCAACAAAAGTTGTGTACACAATTGACTTCTGTTGAAGAAGATGGGATGACAATTGGCGGTTGAACAGTGATTGTAGCAAATCAGCTGCAGTCACTTTTAGGATATGATGACAGCAGGGAGCGCTGGCTGTCAGAATACAATAGCCCGGTGAGGGTATTCCACTATCTACACTGTTTAATGCGGATGGAGAAATCTTAGATTTCTTTTATTCAGCCCGGGGACTGAATGAAATAAATCTATTAGTGTATGGTCAGCTTTAGCTGCAGTTATGGGATAATAATCACTTAATACTGACACAGTGGGATTTGGAAAAACAAATTTTAGTGTCACTTTTGTTAGCATGTCATTGTCAGGTGGACACACATTTCTATAATAGTCAATCTGATCTAGGACTGCTTATTAGGATGTTTCTGGGATGGATTGTCTTCTGCTTAGAGGGGAGTCTCAGCCTCCATGCACATATAGCGTTTGTGTTTCCCACGTGGTTTTCCGTGCGGCAACGTAAACGCTAAAATCTTTCATCTGCATGGACTCCGCTCGTTTGTTTCTAATATATAGTTGCGAACGTGTGTAATCCATCAAAAAAGTCTGAACAATGCACATTAAAGTGCATTATTTTTTCTGCTTAGAGCGGCTCTGCGCGTATTCGGCCGGTGAAATACGCGCGTACAACCACTCTTGTGTGAATGGAGTCTCAGAGAGCAGAGTATGAGAACACCAACAGTATGGTGTTTGACCTAGAACAGCCTTTCTCAACCAGGGTGCCCTCTGGCTTTGTCTGGGGTGCCTTCTGATTTCCACTTCTGTTGTAAAAGGGGGGGGTGGGGGGGGGCGACTCTGATTATTTTTATTATTATTATTATATAGGCATTATATAGCGCCAACAGTTTGCGCAGCGCTTTACAATGGTTTACAGTGGTTAGGTTGAGGTGGGATGATGTGAGGGGTGCTTAAGATGTGAAGGGAAAACTGTGGGTTTTTTTTTTGCTAGGGGTCCCCCCTTAAAATCCATACCAGACCTCTGCCTAGGATAAGGGTTTGGTACTTATTGCTAAGGGCAGGACCACATGCGTTTTTATTTTTACATTCACGTTTCTTACTTTTTAGACTGGGGTGCCTCGAGATTTTGAATACTTTTAAAAGGAGCCATGACTAAAAAAAGTTTGAGAAACGCTGACCTAGACCGTAGATTGATATAACTAAGCCAGTAAAGGCTATTCACTTTGCAGAGTGTAGGTTAGTAAATAAAGGGAACCTGCGTTCAATCTGAATACCCAATCGTGTGTGAGGGAAATAAAAAAGCTAAGACATGTGTGGCTTATTAAAGTGAACACAGCTTGGCCCTATTTACTAAGCTCAGTGAACATTTGCTTTGCAATGTGAACAGCCTCTACTCCTTTAGTAAATCAGCCTCGGAGTCTTTTGGTACTATGTGAAGGTTTTTGTTTTCCTCTAAATATTTAATATGTAGGACACATTTTAGACCAATGAGCAAGCTATAGTTATAAAATGTTGAGTTGATAATAGACTGAACATATGTTTTACTAAACTACAGATGAAAGAGAATTTTGGCTGTGCTGGCATTAAAGGAAATGGTCTAATGGGAAGCAGGAGGTACTGCTAAAAGAAAGCAGCTTGATTCAACAGAATATTCGGCCTAGGATATTTCCTGCCATGCTTTTGAATTAGACTTTGTCCTTCACTTTCCTTTTTATCAGAACATGTTAGTACTCCAAATGCACTGTGAAAATGTCAAGATTGCTTCCTGATGGTGGCCAGCAAGCTCCCCTCAATAATGGTTCTGATTACCTTACATTTATAAGGTTTTTTTATAATTATTTTGTGGTCGATGAGAAGCCATAAGCTGCGTGGAGAAGGAAGAATCCACAGAACAGTCTCTTCTCATAGGATGTGAGAGATCAGTCTGTAAATGGTTGGCTTTGACTACCCATAGACAAATACGACAACAGTCTGAAGAATGGTACAATACACTCTCCTACTGATACTTATTTTCCTGGCAGTCCCCCTGGCAATTCGTTGTCCTGCAGAAGCACTAATTACAAGGTTATTCACAAAGGGTGAAGAGTTTGAAGAAGGCAGGGGGAGTGAACACTCTAGGACAGGGGTGGCGAACCTTGCCACTCCAGCTGTTTTGGAACTACAAGTCCCATGAGGCATTACAAGGCTCTGACAGCCACAGACAACTCCCAGAGGCAGATGCATGTTGGGATATGTAGTTTTGGCACAGCTGGAGTGCCAAGGTTCGCCACCACTGCTCTAGGACAACATAGCTGAACTGGAAAGTGAGCTGAATTGGAGAATTTTCCCCAATCAGCTGTGTTGTCCTAGATTGGACCATTTCCTGTAATGCCAGCACAGCCACAATTCTCTTTCATCTGTAGTTTAGTAAAACATATGTTGTGAATAACCCTGTAATTAGTGCTTCTGTAGGAGAACGAATTGCCAGGGGGACTGCCAGGAAAATAAGTATCAGTAGTAGCACTAGGGATGAGGTTTGGCTTCAAGGTG